TGTTTTTCTTTTGGTTTCCAGTAGGTGGAGTCTAAGCCTCTTGGATCCCTGCTTTATATAAAACCTTACTAATGCCTTTTTTTTCCTTATAAATGTTTAATCGCACTCACTACTCTCAGTCTCAGTCCCTGTCAGTGTTAGTGACAGTTTCGGTAACATTTGTTCAGATTCCCCTGGGGCTACATGGCCTTCAGTCTTGGAGGGTATGAGAGAACACCTCTCTGGATTGGGAGTGGAAGCTGCAGCTCAGTCTTGTTTTGCAACCTCGGCCAGTGTAAATCAACTGTTGTTTCTCTGCCATGCCTGCTTTTCTGCCGTCCCCATTTCTCTGCCTTCTGCCTTGATGACTGGGCATTGCCTCCGGCTGTGGGGAGCTCATAGCACTCCCAGGCAGGGCTGTTCAAGAACGTTGCTGCACGTACTCCCATCTCCCTCCTCCTACAGGGAGCTCTGGTGGCCGTGAGAGGCAGTTTCTTTGTTTCTCCAAGTCCACTGCCCGCCACCTAGGATTCTGACGTGTTGTATCTCTTACGCGCAGATCCCATGCTCAGACATGTTGTTGTGCAGTATCGGTATGGTTTTGTTGAGTTTTAGATGTTCAGCTTATTGTTGTTTCAAAGGGAGAGATCTGGGGATATCTCTCACTTGCCATGTTTCTGATGTCACTTACCTTTCTGTTATCTTGACTCTCTCTGCCATATAATGCTGATGAGAACTTTCTTGATTTCTGTCCTTTTTTAACTTAACATTTTACTGTATTTTCACATGTCATCAAGAATTATTTTGGGCATTTATTAAGGTTTTATTATAAAAGCTATGTATTTTTTTAGGGAATTTGGAAAATGTGGAAAGCTAAATAAATAAGTCTGACAAATAATATCACCCCAAATCATACCAATCAGAGAGCCACTGTTAACATAGTGTGTTTTATTCCTTTTTGTGTGTGTATATATCATATATCTACCCACATATGTATTATATATGTGTACATATCTATGATATCATATGTATATCATATATCACATCCATGTGTGTATATATGCATGTCATAGTCATATGACTATGTTTGTCATATATTAAAGTATCTTACAAACTGACAAATATGTAGTACATAAGATTTTGTATCACTTAAATTTTCTTAAGTATTTTCTCATATCACTAAAAATTCTTCATTCATAGTTTTTATAGTTATAGGTTCTGTCATATGATATCATAAGTTATTTAGTCATTCCCCGATAGTTTTACTTCCTCATTTGTAAAACTTTAACATCCTATAGATAAAGATAACAAATATGAATGTAATTTTACTATTTTTTTTAGACCTTTTTGGAAGTTGCTGACCGTTCAGGCACGGTGTCAGTGATTATGTGGAATGCCCTGTGTCCTGAGTGGTATAAAAGTCTGCGGGTTGGTTTAGTTCTTCTGCTTCAAGATTATTCTGTTAAAAAGAGTTATCCATTCAGATTGCAGCCTCTCCCTGTGGATCCACAAATCAAACTCATTTCTACTATGGGTTAAGTATTCAATGTTTTTTTTTTCCTTTTATTGCTATTTTGTTTGTATAAATTTGCGAAGTACCATATCAGCCATAGGCTCTTAAAAATTACTGAAGCTGTTAGAACCTGACAAATCTTTAAATTCCTATATCTATAAAAATTTCAAACAATCACTTATAGAACATAAGTGATTATTTATTTTGCATTTATTAAGAAAAAATATCTTAGATATTTATTGTGGATTAATGAATGAACTCTACTTGGTGTATACTTATTTTTATTATCTTTTATTTTTTGTATTATAATATTAAGTAAATGACTTGAATATAGTTGTCTGTCACTATGTGCTACAGTTCAAAAGGGCTTTGGTCAACATCTTGTTTTGAAATAATTTCAAACTTACATGAAATGTAATAGTATAAAAAACTCATGTATACCCTTTACACAGATTCAACCATTGTTAACATTTACCTTTGCTTTATCATTTTCTCTTTCTCTCTCTCCCTTTCTCTCTTCCCCTTTCTCCATCTATCTACATATATGTGTGTGTATGTATTTCTTTATTTTGTCCTCTAAACCATTTGAGAGTAAATGGTAACCATTATATATACCCCTTTACCTCTAAACACTTCAGTAATATTTCAGTCTATATTTTCCAAGAATGAGAACATTTTATTACATAATCACAGTACAGTTATCAAAATCAGGAAATTTAAAACTTAATACAATACTATACAATACTGTTATATCTAACCTATGGTTAATAGTCAAATGTTGTCAATTGCCACAATCTTGAAAGGGCTCTTTCTAATTAGTGTTGAAATCAAAGTTTTAACATCTTGACATCATACTAAATATTTTGAGTGCATTAGAATTAATATATTAAGTGATTGATTTAAGAAGTTGATATGATATTTTTTGCATTGCCATTTTCAAAATTATAGATTACATCACTCAACAAGTTTAAGTATTGTTTTGGGGTTATAATAGTTTTATACTGGACCTGGTTTTTTATGTATTCTAAATTCCCTAGCTAATCTATTAAGCTTAATTACTTAGACAATGTTCAGACAATGTAGCCTTTGTTCATTGTTTCCTTAAATATATGGTTATTTTGGAAAACTTCCTATGATTCTGTATTAAAATCTTCAGCATTTAGTAGTCATCGATCACATCTTGCTCGATGAACAAGTCATTACCTAGATAGTTTGGTGCAACTAGTCCATTTATCTCATTACTCTTTATTATAGAAAGTTGAGAAATTAAACAGATATTGATGTTGGGACTTACTTAAGAAAATACAATAAAATTTGGCAAGAGGAAGCTCATTCACAACATGTATTATGTCTACCAATTTATAATTTTTTTTCACAACTAAGCATATACAGGTGACAAAATAGCTTAGTAAAAACTGAGTCATCCTTTGTCAGTAACAGATAAGGTAAGTGACTTTGTAGATATCACATAATAAATAACTGGCATAATGGAAATCAAAATCTAGTTTTCCTAATACCTAACTTAATGTTCTTTCTACTAGATACACTGTTTTCTGTTGTAAAGAGAATTAATTTGAATGAGTTTTTACATGGCTGTGGGAAAATATAAATGTGTCTGGTACTAACAGCTGCTTCTAAACCTTAAAAACATATAGAAAGCAAGACAATAGACAGCATGTAGTCAATAGAATAACAGCCACTAAAATTTAGCACTGAAAATGATTCAAGAACTGGTGTTACTTCTGCTATGTAGAATTACATGGCTAGATTTTCATAATGGAAACTTTCTCTTTAAGATATGAGAGGCTACTTATACTTTCAAGTAAATAACTGCAAATATAGAAATTATTTTTTTAATGAGAGCCTTGATGAGAATATATTGTAATTATGTCTTTTAGTGTTTAAAACAGTTTTACTTATCAGTGCTAGCATCAGTCTCGATTTTATCCTGTAACTGTTTGATAGGTAATAGGATGTTTTCCCTCTTTATCAGGGGTCAGCAAGCTATTTTTGTAAAGAGCCAGATAGTAAATTTTATAGACTGTGCAGACAATATGGTCTCTGTCGCAACTACTCAGCTTTGCCTTTGTAGAGTGAAAGAAGCCAGAAATGATATGTAAATGAATGGGCATGGCTGTATTACAGTAAAACTTCATTTGAAAAAACAGGCAGCCATCTGCAGGCTGTTGTTTGCTGATCCTAAATGTATAAGTAGATCTCAATCCTCTCTGTACATTTGTACCACCTAGAGAGCTTTAAAGAACCACAGGCACCCCACCCTCTGAGAATCTGATTTAATTACTACGAGGAAACCAAAACATTGGTATGTCATTAAAACTCCTCAGATGACTCTAATGTGCATAGGATTGAGAACTATTGATTTATGATTTTTAATAATGACCTGTATCAAACTGATTAGTGATCTTTTGAAGAAAAAAAAGCAGTTCTGTAAAGCTCAGGAGATAAGAAAAGATAAGTAATATAGAGTTTTACTTTTAAAAATTAGTCTAATGGAGTGGCAGATATGTAAGATGAACAAATTACAGTAAAATGAAGACTAATGACAGTAAACAGTAAGAAAATATGATGAACAAAAGGGGAAAGGAAATGAATACAAATTTAGTTGAGGAAAGGACGAACGGTCAGGAGAGTAGGAGAACGGGTTGGATAAAAGAAAGTGTAATTGGATGTTGTGAATAATAACAGGGCTGTTTAAATGTTATGAGCAATGTAAGTGAGGTGAGTACGCAACGGGTGCTGATGTGGATCAGTAAGAGAATATGGATTTGTGATACCATCGCTGCCTTCTAGGTTTTGATGTGGGAAGACAAACTGTTGGGGTAATTTATCTTGGTTTATTTTTTAATATTTATATGTAGTTCCAAGTTATAGAAACTAAGATGTGTGCGTTTTTTAGTTTTAAAGATCTAGTTTTTATGTCCTTATACTTCCAGTATACTTTAGTTTTGTTTGCACTAAACTAAGAAATTACCATTCTAAAACTGTGCTGCTATTACTACTGTTTGCAAAATAATTGTCTGGCACAGAGTAGGCACTCTTTTTAAAATATTTTTATACTGTTATTTTTTTCAATTATAGTTAACATACAATATTATGTTAGTTCCAGGTGTACAACACACAGTGATTAGACATTTATATAACTTTTGAAGTGATCACTCTGATAAATCCAGTACTCATCTGACACCATACATAGTTATTATAATATTCCTGACTATATTCCTCAAGCTATACTCTACTTTCCCATGACTATTTGGTAACTACCAATTTATATCTCTTAATTCCTTCCCCCTTCACCCATTCCCTATCGCCCAATTTGACAGCCATCAAAATGCTCTCTGTATCTATGAGCTTGTTTCTGTTGTTTGTTTGTTTATCCTGTTCTCTATATTCCACATATGACATTTGTCTTTCTCTGTCTGACTTACTCCACTCAACACAATACCTTCTAGATCTATCCATGTTGTTGAAGATGGCAAGATTTCATTATTTTTTATGGTTATGTCTCCTATTATAGCCTTTGTTTTAAGGTCTGTTTTGTCTTATATAAGTATTGCCACCCCAGCTTTTTGTTTATTTCTTTACATTTTCTTGAAACATCTTTTTTAATCCTTTTACTTTTAGTCTGTGTGCCTTTTGATCTGAAGTGAGTCTCTTGTAGACAGTATATGTAAAGGTCTTGTTTTCTTATCCATTCAGCCACCCTATCTTTTGATTGGACCATCAAATCCATTTACATTTAAAGTAATTGTTGATAGATATGAAGTTATTGCCATTTTATTATTCATATTTTTTCTTTTTTTTTTTTTCTTTTTTCTTCTTTTTCTTAAAAAAGTCCCTCTAACATTTGTTGTAGTATTGGTTTAGTGGTAATGAACTCCTTTAGCTTTTTCTTCTCTGGGAAGCTCTTTTTTTGCCCTTTGATGCTACACGATAGCTTTGCCTGGTAGAGTAATCTTGGTTATAGGTCCTTGGTTATAGGTCCAATCCCTTCTGGCCTGTAAGTGTTCTGTTG